ACCATTATCGAGCTACTGTGGCGTAAAACTGTGGCGTAAGCGATCAGTACCTACCTACCTAGGTAATCTTTCTCCGGGATATCGTAACAGTATCTTACTAGCGTGCTTCACCCGCATCCACAAAAGAATACCCTTCACGTTCGACTCTCGTGTTTCTTTGGCTGTTCTTCCTTCTATCCTTGATGCTCTTCACACATTTTTTATCTTTTTTTTATTTTACATCGGAACCTCCGAACCCCTCCTCGATGTGCCCTCATCCATACCATAATTACCGTTGTCTTTTCAATCTCCATACGATACCACTGAATTTTAGTTCAATTCCCGTGCACCGCTGGCTTGGTGTCAAGCATGGAGCCGAGCACAAGAAGTGAACGGCCTAATAAGTGCTGCACTTGCATGAAACGGAATCCGCATCTGACCTACCTCAGACGCCAACGTGATATATTCTACAGCTATGGCTTGATTAGACTACGTAAACGTCTGTCTAGTCGGTACATCCCGCCCTTGTCCTTTTCAGCCTCTTTGCTTTGCCCATTTTCTATGCGCGACATCTTGCCATTCTATAATCGTGGGTGATTGACTTTACGATATCTCGGTAGGTATATATACTCTTGCACGCAAGTTCACACGGATATGCACGGGCAGCATAGTAATCCGGGGTTACCCGACCAGAAGTATATTTTATTGTATAAGAGAAAGTCAAATACGGTACGGTACGCAACATCCACCACAATCTAGATCTAGATGCGCAGCTTTCGCTTAAGGAGTCGAGCTGTGGAAGCTTCGTGAAGAACACCCGTCCCCATCTTATCTCCTTCCTGCGATATGAGTTGTTCATTGCAAAAGTAGTGTCAAATTGTCGATACTGCATCTAGTCGATCAAAGGTACGGATATCAAGTGATTGAGAGCAATGCATCTGCCGGTTTGAATTCTCAAGCCAACAATCTATTTCCACGGGCACACTATATCACCACACCGCTGGTGGCGGTGGATAGAAAGATGTCAGCCACAAGCCGCCTTTATTAGGACCAGGGTAAGTTTTCAAGACATTTGCCCTACAGCAGTGGGTACTTGAGCAATTGTCGACATCTAGAATACTCAAGCCTCGAGGATGTTCTCCAGAGAAGGGACGCTTCCGCTATCATTCTCGCAACAAAATCTGTTTCAGCAGTCCAATTGCCAGGTCGAGAATCGTGAAACAGCATTATCGCCAATAAACACATTGTTACCGATATACGGGGCAAGACTGCTCGCTCACCCACAGTAGGCATCACTTCAGCCATTAGATCATCGCTCATAACAATATAAAACCAAGCACAATAAGGAAGGAGTACAAATGGCACATAGATTCATCAAAATGGATTCCCATTACTACAAATTCCACCTAAACCGAAGTTTTTTTTCATCCTTTCATCTTATTTTTTGGAGATTGGTTTATTTATGTATTACGGATCTTCGATGTCATCGATATCTAATTCCTGAATAAGAGAGTATTTTCACCTGGTCTTATTCGCTGTTCCGCCCATTTGACTTTCGGAAGTGGGAGATCCATATAAATGACGTCAACAATGCTTGTCTGATGGAGCACCTCGGAAGTGCATAAGGTTACCCTTCATAAATGCTTGTGGGAAGATTGTGTGTGCACAAGGATTTTTCATACCATTTACCCGATCCCACATCAATTTGATTGGTCGTTACCGAGGCCGATTTGGTCGATATAGCCAAAACCCTAAAAATAGATTTCTGTCTGAAGCAAAAAAAATTCTAAAATTTGTATGGTGTGGTTATAGAAAACTTGGAAAAAATATTTGTATCGTATAGAGCGCAATCTCATTGTATATCATTATAGAAATTATATAATGTAACTTATGATGAACCGGATCATATGAGGAATCGGGTTACAAAATTCAATTCTCTTTATATAATCTTGTTCTACGAGCTATACATTCATCTAATTTCAATTCTAAATCATTTAAACTACTCTTTAATTCTTCTTTTTCAATTTCCTTTTTTAATTCTTCAATTGGATGTTTATATAGTTATCCTTATGGCTTTTTCTTTTTAGGTTTTTCCTTTATTTTATATATTATTTTCAATACTTTCTTATTACTAAAAACAAATTGACCTTGTAATTTGATTCTTTTGCTTTTAATTCTCTTCTTTCGAGTCTCAATTACCTTCTAAGTATTAGTAAGCTGTTTCCGAAGTAGGGTTATCTCAGTATTTTGAGATTCTATAAGTTTAGTCATTCTTTTAGTATATCGACGAATTGATAATATAAGAGAATCATTATCTACTAAAGCTTTATTAAAGGTTTGATTTGCTTGTCTTAACTCTGTCCTATTTGAAAGAGAGCTTCTAAGTATAGATAAGTCTAGATCTTGATTGGAGGTTCTCATTTGTAAAGTAGAAGGTTGCTGAAAGGAATTAAATGGTAATAAATCGAGTACTTTTCGTAAAGCAAAAGGTACTAAATCAACTCCTTTTTAGTCAGTTTTAATATTAGAAGAATTTAATGCTTTTTTTTTAATATTTTAAAAGAGTTTTATTTATTCAGCTTTTTGGATTTGTTTTATATTAATTTGAGAATATCGATCGATTTTTAAAGTATGATATTGTTTTATTGGCTTATATATTGCAATATTAAGTAATTGAAGTAAGTAGGAGTAATAAGAAGGTAATATAAATAAATCGATATCCTTCTCTATATAGAAAGCAATAAAGCTGTCTGTAATATAACTTGAATGGCTATTCATGATCAAAAGTCGAGGTTGATCATCTAACACTTTTTTGGATTCTGGTTTGAAAACCCTTTTTAGTTATTTTAATTTATGACTATTTGAGGTCCATTTATTTGTATTAGTAGAAAACTGCTAGCTTTGAGGTGTGTTCTTTGGAATCCATATAGAATTTGTATTCTAAGCCTTGAAAATGATTATAGGTGATAAAGCCTTTCTAATTGTATTGATATATTTAAATATAATTATTTATTCTTATTTATTAATTATAACTTTCCAATTCGATTTCTGAATAGAATTGATTATAATATATATACTTTGAATACTTTTAATTTCAAATTCGGTTTTGTTTATATTATATATATTATTTAATTTATATTTTTGTTTAATGAGATATATACGAAATGTATTAAACCAAGCCTGAATATTCTTTAATATTATTTCTTTAGTTTAATTAAATTCTAATTGATATGAATAATATGTTTTAAGTTCTGAATATCGTTTTTAGAATTTATAGATTCATTTGTAACTTATAAATAGAATTTCTATTAAAATAAAAATTCGAGATGATATAATTTGAACATATTGAAAACGAATTTTATTAGTTATTTCCTTCATCAATATAAATATAGCAGGGAATCCAATAATAATAAGTTATGAAATCCATTATATAAGAGTATTTTCTTTTACATTTGAAAGAATTTGAGCCATTTCGTAGAATTGAATATATAATTTCCTTCTAGCAATTTTAGCTATAAGAATTGATTTAAAAACTTCAAAATACTCTACAGCCTTTCTAATTGATTTAAATTCCTTTAATTGAAATACAATAATAATATTCTATATTTTCTCTTCAATTTAAGAAGGTATAAGAGGTGATTTGATATACATAGCAAAATTTGTTGGGGTTTGAAGTCAATAATGAGCTAAATATGACCTAGTTCCTTATATAACCTGGTTCACTATAAGTTACGTTATAGTATATCTTTAATTTTTTGAATAATATAATAGCGATAGTAATATTATTGAATTATAATACTTATTTTAATAATAGATATTGCTTTTTATCAATTGTATAAAGCTTATATGATTATTTTAGTATATATAATCTTATAATAAACAAATACATTCAATGTAAATAAACAATTGAATTTATTAATCTTTTAATTAAAAATCTTTCAATTAATTCAAAGTTTATAATATCAAGTTGTATAATTGTTATAATAAAATGGTATTTAGTTTTGTTATAGTTAATAACCCTCCTCCTTTTTCATTAGTTCTTAATATATTAGATTTGGGGAATTTAAATGATTTATTAGAATTTATATTCTTTAAATTATTAGAAATTGATAGAAATCAATATATTAATTATTCTTTTCAGTTTGTATACCTTTTTTTATATACCTTATATTTAGTATTTACTAATATTTTATTAGTTAAAGTACTATTCTATATATATAGATTATTTAAAGCTTCTTGAAAAGAAGATTTTATACAAAGTTCAATTTCAATATAATAATATTTTAGATAATCTTTTATATGATATATATATTATTAAAGCTTTAATTATTCAATCTCAATATATATATAGCTTTAAAGCTTTTACTAATTATTTATTAATTTCTTTTTTTCGGAAATATTATAAAAGAATAGTCTTGTCAGAAGTGTATAAAAGGGAAGGGTATTTTTATAAATTATATAAAATTAGAGAAGTAATTTCGAGGTGTATATATAAATTGTAAAAGATAGAATAAAAACAAAGTATATATTGTTTGTAATACAGATCCTAAAGAATTCATAATATTACCTAAAATATTTAAAATAAATGTATAAATATACTCTAAGAAATATATAACTTATTTTTAATTATATCGATCTATTAATAAACAAAAAAGATATAAATAAGATTGTATAAAATGAATAAGAAAAAGTTGAAGAAAGTTGAATATTTATGAAGAAATAGTATACTAGCTTTTATAAAGTCTAAAAAGAGAAAAGGGGCATTGAATTACAAAAGCAACATGATGACAAATGATATTAATTCTTATTTATATACTTCTAAATATTAAATACATTTTTGTTTCAAGTAGAAATCTATTTTTGAGGTTTTGGCCATATCGACCAAATCGGCCTCGGTAGTCGTTTTTCCACATGGATATCCTAAATCGCGGAGGTTAAAATGAAGCCGCCGTTACTCAATACAACAAACACGTCTACTATTTGTTAAGGAATTATGTTATCCGTAGAAAATGGGTTCCATGTTACAGATATGGATGCTTCCACGAGCTTTCTACTGCAATGCTAGTGACTCCCAATGTGTTCTCTTGTAAGATCGTGGAGGATCCTGCCGTCTTACTCTTGCTCTTGCTCTTGTCCTTACTCTTACTCTTACTCTTACTCTGACTCTGACTCTGACTCTGACTCTGACTCTGACTCTGACTCTGACCAACGCCGGTGTCAACCCTTTTCTATCGTTCGTAATACTTGACTTTGATCAATACGACTTTCGGCTTCACCGAGAAAGGGGCTTTGCATACATCATTGACGTTCCATGTGTGGCCTTAGTAGTTAATGAGCCCAGATCAAAGTGCATGATGAATGTCGCTGTTGTCATTTGGTGACACTGCAGACAGTCACGATGTATGGGCGGAACATCGGCACAAGTCGGTTGGGTTACATGTTTTTAGACCCCGAATTGTGATTCTTGGCAATAGTTTGCATAGGAAAATGTTGTCGAATCATTTTGAATAGAGGTAATAGCCCAGGCTTTAGGATCATACGAGTCTATGTTGTTTGCTTGGGAATTCGGGACTCGGAACAGGAAAGCTCTTGCGTGGGTGGAATCCGGTGGCGGGAGGGTGGAGGAACTTCCTCCGTGCTCGCATTGCATTTCATCTGATTCAATATAATCAGAAGAAAGCAATCAATACACACTATCACTTTACAAGACTGAGAATTATCTTCTCTTTGATTATAGTCAGAGTCCAAGCTTTAACATCGTACGAGATCTGTTATCTTTCTCAATGATAGGACTCGGAACACAAGAGCTCTTCCCCTTCCCCAGCCCTTGTACCATTATAGTCAGACACTGGGCCTCGAACATGTGCTCGGGCCATCCTCGAATGGGATCTCCTGAGAAAGCTGTCGGGGTTTCATCTATGAGAAATCTGAGAAGAGGATGAAACCCAAACATTGGTCTCTTGTCAAGATTTAAGAATGCATTCACTACAATGCTCTATTGTCGTTGTTAGTTTGATTGAGTAGCTACAAAGAGGGACGGCCCGCGAGCGAGTCTAGTATATCCGCAACTTCCTGTTTTTGTGAATTTGCTTGGCATTTGGCAAACTGGCGTTTCAGAATCACTATGTTTCAGACCGACTTACTTTATGTGAAGGTGTCCAATAGTCCGGAGAGTAGTCCAAATAAGAGGTGCTATTGCTGGAAGAGTGTGAATAATTGTGAATGAGTTTTCGATTTTCAAGAATCGAAAATTCCAAGGGAACCCTATTATACACAGGGACTCAATATACGTTTTTTTTTAATGGCATCAAGAACATTTCACTCTCGAACTACAGTGTAAGAGACCGAGAAGCCTTCATCTCCTCATCGTCACTAAATATAGATGTCATATTCTTTCTTTTTTCTTCTTTTGAACTTTCTACATCGTTTTCATTGACTGCCGGGTGGTGGGTCGTTGTTGCGGGTTTTTTACTTGCAATTCCTAGAACGGTCACGAGAGTCGAGGATACTTTCAAACAGCAGATAACATGATCCCTTTCCATCGAGCCCTCCTATATGCATGGGAATGACAGAATATATCTCTCCCTTCAGTCGACTATGTTCCTTGTCTAACGATTGGGCTTGTTCAATGACAGTCACGCGCAAAGAGCCAGGTGGTCGCATCTAGGAGCTGCTTTGCGGCTAGATATAATATAGTGACCCTTGATTCAACTAGGCTGCATACTCAATCCAAGTTGAAAATACCCGGACCTTGGGGGTCCACTTGCAAATAAAACCTTGGAGTTGACGACTTGATACAGTCTAGTCAACGCAACTAATATGCATAATAATCTACTATAGGAAGTGAACGATGGGGTAAGTCAAGCTCGTCACGGGGGCTCTTTATAAATCCGCTCGTGGTTAAATCTAAGAATTTCCCGAACCGGGGAAGTACGCAGGAAAGATGCTCGGCAAATACTAGGTAAGGGACTTTATAAGTTTTAAGAATGGTGACTGTGAATGGTAACTTCAAGAATGTGGTACAGATCTTCTATGGCTGCTAATACTAGGGAGCTCATATCCTCGATACCGATCTCGAAAGCAGTCTAAAACATGTAGGTCCCGTTATGAAGTCACTTGGACTCCAGGCGGCACATTTTGGGGGGGTCATCAGGGCTCATTACGAGGGTTTGGGAATTGTGAGCAATAAAGACTTCAGGCAGATAGGAGAGCAACTGTGCTGCTTGGCTCTTTTGCCACGGAAATCTTTTCCAATGATGCATATGTTATTGATTTTCATAACATGATTAATGTATTGAAATATGATTAGATGTCAAGATGTTGTTCTTGTATTAATGACTAGAAGGTAATAACCGAGCGGGAGTCATGGCGTACAGGAAGACCAATATTTGGTTTGATATATTCGATAATTTGGTTTCAATTTCGCACGGTTAATCGTATAGATAATAAACACCAAAGTGTCACGTCAATCTGTCTTCTTATTCTTTCTTAAAATATCTTGTTTCTTCATCTACCTTACTTACCTTTGAACAGAAGTTTATATCCTCAAATTTGCGAGATTTAAACGCACCAATCTTTACTTGTAGATGTTGCACCTATTGTGATCATTTCACCCTATCGGCTCCTTATCGTAAGGCCCCTAAAATGAACGTCACTCCCGTACCAAGGATTTCTCCATCTTAAGCATCCACCTGCTGTACAACCAACCAACCTTCAAAGACCAAATTTGAAAATCATTTCCTCCCTTCAAGTCTCTGCTCGACATACCAGAATACTATACGATTCTTTAATTGTCATTTAATCCGCCTCTTCAAATATGGCATCTACATCCTCGGGGTCCTCCGCATTTAACCCTTCGCCTGCTGCATCGACGGCCCCCTCAACTGCCTCCGAGTCGTTACCTACATCCTCCGCGGTAGCGGAGAAACCACCAGATGATGGCTCAAAACTTAAGATGTTCTTGGGCATTCTGCGAAAGTAAGTTGCTGTATTTCTGCGCATCTTTGCTCGGAGATGTTAGTAGAAACCACACCGCTATCAATGCAACAAAGTGTGGCTTCAGCCTCTCAAGCAACCTGTGGATCTCCTGCAGATATGTATACGTTTCGGATGGTCATGACTGACACTGCTTTCTCTTTTCTCATAGGTTTATTGGAGTGGCAGATATTGCTTCCGTTCGATTCAGTTTGCCGGCCCAGCTATTAGAACCAACGCCCAATCTCGAGTATTGGAACTACCTCGATCAACCGAATACATTTGTGGCAATAGGAGACTCGGACGATCCATTAGATAGAATGTTGGAAGTCATGCGATTTTGGTTTACGAAGGATTTGAAATATGTGAAAGGAAAACCTTGCAAGCCATACAATTCTACTCTTGGGGAATTTTTTAGGGTAAGCAGCTGCAGCTAAATGGAAAGGTCGAAGTGGGGAATACTGATATCTCAAATAGTGTAATTGGGAAGTTGAGGATTCACAACCGGCTATAGAGACGGGAAAGTTGAGCACGGCTAGTGCTTCGTCTTCGAAGAAAGCTACTCCTATGTCATCGACTAACGCGTCGAATGTCACAATTCCTAAGCCGAAATCGGGCAAAAAAGTCCGAGTATCGTATTTGACGGAACAAACTTCGCATCATCCACCCGTCTCCGCATTTTATGTCGATTGTCCGGAAAAGGGTATTTCGGCTCGGGGTTTCGATCAAATATCGGCAAAGTTCACTGGAACGAGTATCAAGGTCACACCAGGGGAGCACAACTTGGGCATCTTCATTAATATTGAGAGGAGAAATAACGAACAATACCAGCTCACACATCCAGCCGCCCATCTGGGGGGGCTTTTGCGTGGAACTTTAAGTGTTACCGTAGGAGACCAGTGCTACATTACTTGCGCTCAGACGAAGATCAAGACAATCTTACATTATGTTGAGGAGGGATGGTTAGGAAAAACGCAGAATAAAGTGGAGGGCGTAGTCTTCCGTTACGATCCAGACAATGATAATAAGACTAGGATAAAAGATGTCCCTGATAAAGATATATTAGCAAGAGTATCTGGAAACTGGAAGGACAAGCTATACTTCAGTTTGGGGCCGAAGGGCGTAAGCATCCCATTTCATAAGCTCAGACGACAGCTACTGACCGAACATTGCTAGGACAATCAAATTCTCCTAATAGATCTCGCGCCTCTTCAAGTAGCACCGAAGATTATTCCCCCAGCAGAAAAACAGCTACCAAACGAATCTCTCAAGTTCTGGTCAGGCGTCACAGAAGCCATTCATGGTCGGCAATTTGCCCGGGCAACAGCCCTCAAACAAGAATTAGAAGAGAGGCAAAGAGAGAAGGCTAAACAACGACAAGAACAAGGCGTTGATTGGCAACCGAGATTCTTCACAGGTTCGGTTACACCTTTAGGTAAACCGGATCTGACAGCCGATGGAAAAGAGGTTCTACAAATGTTGCAGCAGGGAGAATGGGATCTGAAGGAGAATGAAGTCACAGGTGCTTAGAAAGCATGCTCCGGATGAGATGACTTTTTTCTTTCTTTCTGGTAACTGGATTGGTCTTGGATGATACGAAAGGAAACGAGATAGCTCTTTGTTGATACTCTTGATACTTGACACGTATACACATACATTATTACACCACATACATGAATGGGAGAAGAAGGGAAAGGGGACGGCGATGTGGGATTCGTTGCTTTGGTTCGTTACTTTGTCGGATACAGGGTTCAGGGAGCTTATATTTTGAGCACATAACATAGACGTTTCCTTCTGCTGGGTTGTGGAAATTGTGTGGTTGGGGGATAGAGAGTAGAGGGAAGAAGTGGAGAGGGCGGGGGCGGGAATGCAGAGGCGATAGGGGAGCGGAGAGTAGAAGTGAGCACAGTGTAGAGAGTAAAGAGCGGAGAGTAAAGGACGAATTTGAATATACAGTTGGGGTATACAATACACACATACACATACTATACCAGAATCATATCTTGATATTAAGGAATTAGGAGTGTTTTGGATGTTTTTGGTGCTTTTGTTTAGTGATTGTGATGCTCGTTTTGTCTCGCTTGGGCGAGTTTTGGTATTGAGATTTATGTTGATGAAAGTGGTGAGATACCACTACTTGGGTAGTGTACAGATTGGACTCGCTCGTCTATTTTCAAGCATGACAACAAAAACTTTTCTCTTCAATTTCAAGCATTATATCAAACAAAAAATTGAAATAAAAGGCATTCAGTCCAACCTCCCAAGCCTATCCAACGTCCCCGGATTCAAATCCGTAATCACTTCCTGCAATTTCCCATTACTCAACAGTACCACTACTACTCTCCCCGGCTCTGTACATTTGGCCAACACTTCAATTCGATGCGCAACACATATAACCGTATGTCCTTTTTGGGTAAACTCATCATCGATAATACCATGGATGATAGATTCGGTAACGGCATCCAGAGAAGAAGTCACTTCATCTAATAACACGACGGGTTTGCGACCAAGATGCTGAGCTGTCTGGACTTTGACGAGAGCGCGACAGAGTGCGAGGAGTTGGCTTTGGCCGACTGATAGCTCGGGGAATGATGAGAGAGGCTTGTCGAGGATGGGGTGGTAGTTGTGTGATGTGGTGTTCGATGTGGTTTCCGAGATATCGTCTATCCTAGCTGCTCCTTGCAGGAAGGACCAAAGCTCTGTTCTTTTGAGCGAGGAAATTAAAGTTTGGTTGGATAGTGAGACATCAGGATCTAGATTGAACCGTAAGGTTTCGTTTGAGAGAAGTAAGGGATCTTGCGAGACGGTGATGAAGCAACGTTGTCGGAGAATATCGAGTCTAACTTTCTTGATGTCAATGTCGTCTAGCATGATCTGGCCAGATTGTAACTCGAGAAGTCGTAGGAGCGTTAGGAGAAGAGTACTTTTACCACTAATTTGAATGTTAGTTTGTGGTGATTTCGGTGAAGTGGGATCACGAGCCTGCCTGTACGTCCACAGACGATGATTTTCTGGCCCGAGGTGATACTTAGACTGAGGTTTTTGAGAGCTGCCGAGTCGGATCTAAATGTTGCCCTTGTTAGCTAGCAGATTGAAGGACTCACTGGGGCTACATACAGGTAAGATGCAGTGATATTCTTGAACTCAACATTTCCTTTCGACGGCCAGGAATCCACGGGCTCCAAGGTCTGAGCTATACTACCTTCAACAGGTGTCATATTTTCAAGTGTCTTCAGGCGAGCAATCGCTCCAAGAGAAATTTCTAACGTCGTCCAATTCTCTACGAGTTTCAGCAAGGTTGTGTTTGCCACAAGCATAATATTGAGCGCGATTCCAACTTGCGCACCACTGACACGATCTCTATATACCACAGCTAAAGCGATAACAATAGTCGCGACAGCAGCTGCTAGAAGATCCAGCACGACATTGAGCCATCTCTGAAGACACAGAAGGAGAAA